TTTTTTTTTTTTTTTTTTAAACTTTCCCTTGTCTATGAAACCAAAAGCAGAAACTGGCTGAAACCCTTACAACTTTTGTCAGAAAATCTTGATTCCCCAACCTCAACAGACATGGGTCACGCTGCTCTGGTGCCGTGTGGGACTTTGGTGGCCTTGTTTCCCCTTCTCCCCTATGTACCATGGCCAGGTGGTTCCAGGACGCACTGCTTCCTCTCTTGGTAGGAGGAAGACCCGGTTCTCCAATGTGAGGGATGTCGTCCAAGAGAGCGGGGAGGAGACTTGAGACACGCTGAAGCATCATGGTGATATACTTGAAGGCAGAACTGGATTAACCCTTTGGTGTGCCCTTGGCAAATAAACTCATGGGCCCCTAGTTTATACTGTATATTTATATTACTTTTTCATTCAATAATTATAATATGTAAAATAAGTGCAACTGGGCCCCTTCTTCACTTAGTCCTGTGTCTAGTTTGCTTGTGCATTAATCCAGCCCTGCTTGAAGGAACTGGAACAGAAAAGACAGTTGTGTAGTGGGTGCTGTGGACCCCTTCCTCACCACCTTTGATGTGATCGAATGCCAGCCCCAGTTCATACTGGTTCTCTGAAATTCCCATATTAGGGGTTCTCTTGATCTTGCCTGGCCTATTGCCTGGCCAGGGCAACGCCTGCCTTTTCTCCAGCAGACATGAGGCTTCACTTGGGCTAAACAAACTCCTTTTTCTCTTTCAAGAGATCACAGGTTTGTACTTCCGTCAGATCTGTTCAGCTGGTGATTTCAAGTGCTGCTTCCTTCTGATCCTTCAGTGAGGCAGTTCAGACCCCTCTAAATTGTCTTTGCTATGCCTTATTGACAACAGGACAGCAGCAGCATTTTCCCTAATGCCGCCAGGTGGACTCCGTATTGTAAACCCCACATGAATTATTAAGACCCAGCATAACTTGCTTAGTTAATGGCGGGCATAACTGACCTACACATCCATGCATTCTGTACTGTTTAGCTACATATACACAAATTGCTTGCATATATCCCATGGCAGCCAAGCCATATGCACATTTGTACTTGGTTTAAATATGCTGTTCACATTACATTCTGCATCTCTGTCTGAGCCTGCAAATACTTGCTCCCTTCTCCATCTGTAGTTGTGCATATCATATGCAAAGATTTGAACATTTAGCTCTGGGCATGTGTATAGTTTAAAAAAGAAGGAACATTCATTTTGAAAATTTCTTTTTACACATTCCCTTTTACTTGCAGCCTACTCGGTTCAGTGCTTATTTTCTTCATTGTCTTTGCTTCCTCTGACTGCTGAGCCTGTTTCACCTTCCTTGTGTCTGATGTCGAATCTAAATTAGATGAAAAGAATCGCAGGATTTCAAATTCAGTTTGCTCTCTGTATAGGCAGCCTGGTAACAGTCTAAACTGCTTAAATATAATTTTGTTTCTTTAATCCTTCCCTTTCAATCTCTTTTTGTACACATTATAGATATAAAATCTGCAACTGGAAATCTTGCCTAATGTACGTTAAGATATGACAGATGAACCTGACATTTTTCCAGGAGGGAAACCAAAGAGCAGGCTGTATTTATAGCAGCAGTAAAAGTAGTTTGCTGTTTGTAGAAAAAAATATTTCAGTATACTTGTTCTAAAGCCAAGATATGGCACAGGTTGGGAAATCTCTTGTGCCTAAGTGAGGATATTGGGAAAATGAACATTGACTTCAAAGGAATCAGAATTGGGGTCCGTGCTGAAGTTCCTTCTAGCACTATGATCTATAGACAACTTGGATTCCCAGGCAGACAAAGAATATGGTTTAACGGCACAGAAATACTGAGTTGCACGTGCAGCAAGTCTAACGACTGGATAGATAACCATGCTTGACTCTTAAGTCAACGACTGACAGATTAAACAATGTTGGTTGTGTAGTCAACTTCTGTCTCCTTGTCAATGTTTTCAAGAATTGTGTTTGCTGCGTTTTATGTTCAGGCTTTCCTTTTACCAAGCTAGAGTTCATTTGTTTTAAGTTCTCAAATGTAGCTGAGCAAATGCACACCCAGGAAAATCAAAGAAAGGCAGTTATGCAAGCCAGCTGTTGACTATCCTAACCTCCTGCAGCAGGGCCAGTGCTGTGAAACAACACACATGCTTGAGCTAAAGAGCTAGAAGTGGTTCCACCCAGTTGAAAATGGTAGAAGGATTTTTTTTTGTAGTTTGTTTCTTTCTGCTTAATGAATTACACGCTGCTTTAGTTAGTAGTGGACATGCTGAGACCATTGTGTAAGACTTCTTTTGATGTTTCATAGAGGAATGAAGTTTTCATTTTCTTTTCATACCAGCATATTTGGTCTAACCTCAGTTTTTAAGCCTTTCTCCCTTAGAAATTGATTGCTCATAATTGTGTTTTTAACAGTCTACTGGGCTAAGAGGGGTTTTGTGCCAGTACGGTGCCGTGGTCATGTTTATTTGACATGTTGAACGTAAGAAAAATTGCAAAGCCATCATATGAGGCTTAGCACTTCATTGTCTTGGAATGAGCAGAAAGGGGCTGGCTTTGCACTTCTGCACCATGGAACTGTGCATCAGGACCAGCTCGTGACGCTGAATTGATCCTTCATTTAGCAGCAGTGGGTATTTGTATAAACTCTACAGCAGTTTGTGCTGACAAATGACTAAGATGGACTTAACCATTTTGTTATAGGTGACTTCTGACTGAGAGTCCATTTCCACATACATATTCTAGTCCCAAACCTTGCTAATTAGATTCTATTAGAAATCCCTTTGGTCTAGTATTTTACCTTTGTCCTTCCTTGTCAAGTTGAGGAACTGATGCTTCATTTTGCTCTAATAAAGAATTCACCTTGCTTACTCCCTGCTTTCTAACTGCTCTCTGGAGAGTGCTAAAGTGTGCTTAAGCATATTGCAGCTGTTTACACACAGTGTCTGCTGCATGCACCGTAACGTGAAATGTTCGATCTCTGCCCTGTCACTCTAGGCTGGCATGATTCGCACAGACAAGGACGAGTTCTTCATCGAACCTCTAGAGAAGGGGACTTGGGAGGAGGAGGAAGGCGGCAGAACGCATGTTGTGTATCGCAGAACAACTGCCAAGAGGCCGCTTCCCAGTGAGAACACCAATATCCAGCATAAAGGTAAGCCTGAGATGCTAATGACAGCTGATATATAAAGCATAGTTGAAGACATGCAACCGATACGCTGCCAATGCGCTTTATTACTTCTGGATTTTTTTGTCCTTGAGCATGGCAATACCCTTTTCTTGGTTTGTGGAAGGGTGTGGGAGTAGCTGAAAGTTTGGGCTAAATTAAAAAAAGCATTGCAGCTGCCAGAATATTTACCAGGCTGGGGGATCTTTGTTCCTTTTAACATACAAAACCAGACAATATTTTATTTGTGTAAAATGGCCAGCACAAGCCACTCTGAGTCTTTAAGCCCCATGTAAAAGGATCTGCGTTCTGAACATTTCGATGGAAATGACGCCGTTCTTCATGTATTCTTTGCTCAAAATCCTCCTTGTTATGGGGGCTCTTGCCACTTTCAGGAGGTGGCTAGCAACAGCATTGGCCAACACAGATGATCAAGTTTGGGCTGGGGGACATTGAGCTGCTCCCAGGAGGCTAATGAGACCCCAGCTCTTCTAACTGGAGTGGCAGAAATTAGCTCATGAAGTTGAGTTCTTCCAGCGGTTCTGACAAGCAGCATCTAGTGATTCAAGAAGGTGATCTGCGATATCTGGATCTCCAGATTTTTCATACTCATCTGGTAGAGCAGCACACTCTTCATCCAAGCAAGGAGTATACAGGGGGTAAAATCCTTTGGGTACAGAGGACTGTGCTGCTTTATAGAGGGCGCCACAGAAATGCATATAGGCTTCATCAACTGGGATATTTCGCCGTGGGATGGTAACAATGGATTGTTCAACAGTCTCCATGAATAGGGACCAGTTGACTTTCCTGAAGCTCCACCTGGATTTTCTTTTACATGTAATGATCGGGAGTTGCAGACCAATGCGGATAAGTGATGGACGGGGCTGGCTGTGTGGAAAGTCCTCGAGAACAATGCAAGATGCTCGTTGTGGGTGGTTGTTGACTGATATAACCCAACATATGTCTGGAGAGTAATCTTAGTCCCATCTTGCTGAGTGGAAGGTGTCATGTTGTCTAGAGTTACAGATCAAGGCAAGGTCATTCAGAGTCTGTGAATGAAAGCACATTATGTTTCAATGTTTGTACAGTGCCTACCACATGGGAGTCCTGGTTTATGACAGGGGCTGTTGGGTGCTGCCAAGATATTACAGAGATTAGTAGCAGCAGTTTATCTCACTGCCTCCTGGGATCTCCGAGAACACAGGAGCTAATGTGAATCTAACTTAAACCAAGGCAATGGGGATTTTAAAATGTTACCACTTTTCCTAGGGTTTTAGAGGTGCCCATTGATGTTGCTCTTAGAAGGTCCTACGGTCTCTTACAATAGAGCTGGTTTCTAGAGCAGTGCCGTTATGATACCCCTGTCATGAGATCCTGGTGCACCATAAGCAATTGGTATTATGCTTATACTTTCCATGCCCTGGATTTTCTTCAGTTCCTACCATAACCAATTCTGTTTGTCACATTTTTTCTTGCCTTTTCCATGGGACGTTTCTATTAAAGAGAAAGGAAAAGCCTTTGATGAAGCATCATCCCTCCTCCTCCTTTATAGCCCCCATAGCTCATCTTAAGTGCCTATCTCGCTAAGTCACAAGTGAAAAATCCCATAATGTGTTTAAAATGAATCTCTACAGTATCTTTCCTACTTGTACTCTGTACTTCTTGTAGGGGGCCCAGTATACACTATGGCCAACTTTGTCATGCCATACTTCATGTTTGTCTCTAGCCAGCTTGGTACAGTCAGTTATATAACTGATAGTTTCTGCGGCCTGGCCAAATACTTTGCATTTTGGACTCGCATCTTTCTTGCCATCTGCCTTTGCTTCAACAGTAGTAGTAGTGATAATAATAATAATAAGTAAACTGCTAAACTACAATTAAGAAATAGGAAGCATTATTAATGACAATGGGAGCCATTATCATTTGGAAACTGGGAGTTTACTTGAACCAATGAAGAGCTCAGTCTCAGCGTGCTGACTGGTTTTCGCAGAGATGGCTATAATTCCTCTGACTTCAGTGTTTCGATTGCATCTGAAACGGGAACAGAAAAATCGAGGAAAAAAGTTTGAAAAGTTTGCAAACTGCCTTCCATTTTTTGAGCAGCTAGTGAACTAATTGACAGTTTTCAAATGTTTAAAAAGAAGGAAAAATTGCAAGAATTTTAAAAATAAATTTCCCTTTTTCTTTTAAAAAAAAAATCTGTATGCAAGTCTATGTTAGAGATGTTTGCATTTGGTTTCTCCATTTATAGCTGGTTTCCTGTCTCTTACTAGAAAGAGGCAGCTTGACATGCAGGTGAAAACTTAGCTCTGCACCCAGTCTTTCCAGGGTTTTAACAGGTGTATAAAGAAAAAAACTGGCTAGTATTTAAAGGAAAATACCAGCCTTTGCTCACTCTCTGGGCGCTCCTGTCTGTTCAGTCTTTTACCTATAACCATGCCAGTCCACCTGCCTGAACTGACGTGCAGGGCAGCATACACCTCTACCGGATTCTGCCATTTAACCTTTGGTGTGAACCTGAAACGCCACATGCTGCACACGGACCACCCGCCCAGACTAAATTCCAAGTGGACCCAGTGAAACGTGTCTGTTTTGTTAGGAAACAAACCAGTGTGCCCTGCCTCGTCCCAGGACCTCTAACTATTGTCTTCTCCGTGATGGATGAGCCAGTGGGCTTTTTCACTCTCCCTCTTCCTATTTTTCCCCCTTTCTCTTTCTTTCTCTCAGAGGCTTCCTTGGTCCTTTCAGTATCGCTAGGGGGAAATGGAAGGCCTGCGTGCCCCCAGCCTTCACAAGCAATGGGCTGGCAAAGACACATCAGGCCCTGCTGCTGCAAGTCCTTCAAACTTTGGAGGTTGAAAGGGCTCCATATGTTCTGGGAGTATCTGAGCCCTCTCCTGCTTTTTCTTGAAGATTTCAGAGGCCATAGAGCTTTGCATTGTCCAGGTGGTAATTGCATCTTGTTCCCCAAGTGGTAATTGCAAGTAGAAGAGAGGGTGCCAGGGTCAGCTGGTTGAGTAGGTGAAGAAAGGGAGATCCCTGGCCTTAGAAACTCAGCCATGCAGATCTTTTGATCCTGGATGTGTCCCTGGACTCCACCTCTTGTTTCTAGGCAGTCTGTTCAAACTGAATTGCCATGGATGTTTCTCCTGCTTGCCTGACTATCTTACCAAAGTGATTTGCTTTAAGAAACAGGCTTACAGAGTACATTTTATTCAGTTTTTCAGTTTGCTTTTTTTACGGATTGTTTCTCTTCTCCTTCAGCTGCATATTTTTATTGGTTTTTCCACATCTTCTCAGTCCATACAAACTCCAGCTCAGAGTTTCTAAGTGAAGATCAGCATATAGTCTTGATTAACATATGTCAAAATGTTTTGTCGACTGTCAGCCTAGAAATCTGTGCTGTAGTGTGCTTCCAGAAAAACACTAAAGCAATGGACCAGCTTTAAAGAAACATTCACTAGTGTTTTCTGTATGTTGTAGTCCTTAAAAAAATCCACTGCGGGAGGTGACTACATTGTTGCCAAATCTCTGAGTTTTGTTGAAAGTCAAATGGTACTTGGTGAGTTTTTTAAAAGCCCAAGTTTTACAAGTCATGTGAATATGTGAGAATTTCAGCTTCCATGTGAAAAAGGAAGGTTTTTATGATAGCTGCATAGAAAAGATCATAAATATGATCCCAAAGGCTCAGAAACCGCAAACAGATGTTTTTACTTTTTTTAATCTCTTGATTTAAGCCAAACTCATGACTTGGGGAAAGGACATGACTCATGATTTTTGAATTCTTGGGTTTGTATATTTAATTCGTTTTTCTCAATGCTCCCAACCCTGGCAGGGGTGCATCCAGAGGGGATGCAGTGACGTGCTTGCACTCCTCTTTTGGACCATACTGCAGGAGCAGCAGACAGGGACTTTTTTAAAGGCCCTGAAACAGGTAAGACACCTCCAGGCCATTGCTTCCCTCTCCTGCCTGCTTCTGCTGTGACCTCCAGAGGACCAGAGATGGAGGGAGCGCCGGAGCTGCCAGTCAGGCTATGTGGGGAGCTGGGCTTGGCTGGAGACAGCAGTAATGGCAGATTCCCCTCCCTGCCCAGTCCCCGCCAGGTGTTTCCCACCAACCTGGGAGCAGTCACAGGGAGGGGAACAGATCTGCCACTGCTGCTGCTGTCCCCAGCTGAGCCTGGCTCTCCGCACAACGCCCTGCAGCCCCGTCTGGAATGGGGCAGGAGTGGCCAGGACAGCGGTAGTGGCACTGGGTGGGTCCCCCCTTCTTGCATCCAGAGCCATGAGTTGGAAAGGTGAGAGGAAGGAACGGGCAGGGAGGACAGGAGAGGTGCCATGAGCACAGAGGGGAAGGGAGGGTGTGCTGAGAGCGAGGAGGTGGGATTCTTACCTGATTTGGGGACTTAGTCCCTAACTGCTGCTACTGCAGCATAGTCTGTCCATTCCAGGGTGGGAGAGGCTGGGAGTTGCTGGTCACTGCTCCTACACTCCTACACTTTTTAAAAATCTCGGGTCACCCTACATCCCCTGGAAGTCTGGCCGCAGAAGTGGGGGGCTACACTGGTCACTACTGAAGCCTTGCTGGGTTTGCCCCTAGTTACTTCGGAGTGTGGGGTCTACACTCTCAGAACAGGCAGATTTGTACGTAGCTTCTGTACAGCCTGGCCCCATGTTCCGGGCTGAGGCACTTGAGACGCTACTGCTCAGGCTTATGTCCTGGTGCAACGCAGGCAGTTTTGGTGCTGCCATAGATCTGGGTCCAATCGTCTGGGACACCTGCAGAAGAGAACTGCAGGGAATGGGAGATGCCAGGAGCAGGGTTTGGGTAGCAGTGTCATTTGGTGTCTTGTTTCTGGTGTCTGCAGAAATCACATATAAAAGGAGAAGTCACATTTGTTCGGCCTTGGTCATGAATTTTGCATTATGATCTCCACCAGATTCTGTAAGGTGAGCTTGAGAGCAGTGTTTTCTAACGTTTGCATCCA